ATTTCTGTTGAACCAACAGACCAGAAATGATATCAATTTATTTCCTTCATGTTCATGAAAATCCCGAAAAGGGGAGGGGGGGGGCACTCAATGAAAGTTAGGGTAGAGGTGTGCCGCAGAGGCTTTCAAACTCTCACCCTATTTATACTCACAGCGATCTTGCCCTAGCAATCATATAAGGCGCATACGCCATGCATTCATTATCTTCGAGAGAGAAGACACATTGTACATTGGTGCTACATATGTGTTTACGGCCTTGCACTATTGCCTTGCTCGCTCTCTGCTCCATGGCACCTTTCGGATGGCTTAATTTTTCTCTTCCTTCCTTATCCCACCCCACTCTATCGCGGGTCCTTGTCTCTCATCCGGAAGAGGCCGCGACATTTCCCCGGCCCATTCTTGATATAGGAAATTATGACCTTCTGACAGTAATCGGCTCCTGCTTCTGATTAATCTCCCAAACGCAATGCTTGACCCCAAATGTCGCTAAAGCCCATATGAGTAACCTCATCCCCAGGGAGCTTTTCCCTGGCTTCCAAAGCTAGGTAAGTGAAGAGAGTACTATTTGTCAATAAAATATATACACTAAAGGGGTACCTTTTCTGTTAAAAATGGTGTATAAAAAGGTAAGGGGTTGGACCTTGGGGCTGATAAACTTTGTTAAGTACCCCCCCGGGGAATAAGTTGTCCTATTCACTGCCCCATTTTACTATCACAGGCCTATAGATCGTTTTCACTGTCACGCAACAAAAAAATAAATTGGAAACCGTCCAGTGGAAGAAGACGAGAAAATGACATGTTACAAAAGACTAATATATAAACAATTTGTCCAAGTCTCAGGTCTTTGTGGCCCACAGTTTCTGAGTTATTTGCCGAAACGTGGCTCTGACTAGTTAGCTTAATCAAAAAACGCAACGAACAGTTTATCTGAATAAAACGCCCAAATGAGATGTGACCAATTCTTTGAAGTGCTATGATATGACATAAGAGGAAAATGTTTACTTCAGAACCTTCGCAAGACACATCTGTCCTGAACTGACAGGACTAACACTCCCCCCCTTTCACCTTTGATCTTTTCCCCTTAATTGCATCTCCCCCACCTGGTTTCTTTTTCCCTCTGCCTAGCCGGCCAGAGCCCCAGTACTCGGAGTAGTCAATCTATAAAATCGGTATCGATTAATAAATCGATAAGTCGATAAAACGCAGTAAACAACTGGTCATTGTATTGACTATAGAAAGATGGCTGTTAGAAGAGGTTCAACTTAAGATTCTACTTCAGAAATGAGGCTCCAAAAAGCTATCAGTAAATGCTGAGAGCCGCCCGGGGGGAAACTTTAGGAATTTCTGGGTGGGGATGTGCCGCTGGGTCCCTGGAACCCTTAACCTATACCAGAGCTAGTTCAGCTAAATTTTACCACCCTGTAATAGAGTAAACTCCCCAAATCCCCCTATCTTAGAGTAGCTGTTTCCCTAGTCTAGATGAAATCTTCAACCAGCTGATCAGTTTCCTGAAAAATGATACAGTATGTTGCCCAGTATCCGGACGGTACCAGTATCCGGACACTTGAAACAAAAACTCAATTTTTGAGGCGCCCTTTTCAGTTTTCGGTAAACGAAGTATTTCGAATGAAAGCTGAACATTTCAGCTTTAAGATGAGAGTTTTGGCGATTTGAAAGCTTGCGAAACAGCCGCAGAAGACGCCGTTCTGTTCAGGTGAGTAAACTTTTCGTGGCTAATATTTACGCTGTTTACTGCGCAGTAAAATTAGTGCTGCTCAGAAAAGGGAGGGTAATGTGTGATATTTTCAAAGAAACTGTTCTATTTTTAAAGTGAAGATACTTAAGGAAGTCAGGTTTTCAGAAAGTTTATTAATTCTTCTTGAAATTCGATTTGTTTGGAATAACGGAGGCCAGAAACATTCACTAAGTTTTGATGTCATGTGCCCAAGTATCCGGACAGTTTTTTCTTTGCTGTACAGAATCGATGAATTAGCTGTGTACATTATCCGGTTAAGATTTATTTCATATCAGTAACTATAATTAAAGCTTAGGATATATGATATAGTCGTCAAATGTAATTCTACTCAACTCCGTATGAAAATTTTCTTCACTCATTCACAGGCGACTTGATTTCGTGTGCACGGGCTTGTTTCGCGTGACTGCATTTTCTATATATAACTGAAAGCGTCTGAGTTGAACCTGGAATTCTCGTACTTTCCCCACTTGTGATTGCTAGAATGGGGTTGCAACGGTCTGAAAAATGTCACAAAGGGATTGAGAGATGTGAAAGAAGGAGGAATTAGTTCTAGAAAAGCAGGCGTATTGTGGGGACTGGGCATGAAGAAATCAACTGCAGGCCGGACTAAATAGGAGTGACCTTTGACCGTCGGATTGAGGTCCCTTACCCAAGCTTTTTTTTTTTAAATAAAAAATGAGGAAAGAAAGTAGTTTGCAGATTGGCTAATTGAGCTTGCAAACTGCTGCTTCGGCATGTCCACGGTTGCCTTCCTTAAATCAGTGAAAAAGTTCCTAGACAAGGAAGTAAGAAACACACCATTTTTAAAACAGCCGCTCGCGTTTGTTACGTTTTATTTCACGATGCTGGGTTATATTTTTGGAATCGATTGCCAGACTACTTTGCAACTGCAAGAGAAGCTTATAAGTCGCTTGCCTGTCGAAATTTATGTACAATTACGTTGTCATTGTTGTGTCCGGATACTGGGCCAGCTGTCCGCATACTGGGCAACATAGGAGCTCTGCAAAAATATCAATTTCGCGATGGAAACAAAGGCAAAAAAGTTAAACTTTCTTTCGTCATATTAAGGACTAGATAGATTTTCTCTGGGCCAAATTTCAGAGCTCTTGTGATTAACAAAGGAACGTTATTGCAATCTTAAACTGAAGTGTCCGGATACTGGGCAACATACTGTACCCTGTTCTAGACCCAAATGTTCTGATTTATATACCCTATCCTAGAGTAAACTGCTTGAAAACTATACCCTTCACAGGGGCACATACCTATATAGCCCATATATGGCAGTACCCCCCCCCCCCCCCCCCGGGTGGGAGCCACGGTAACAAATCAAATCGAATAAGAAGCATTGAAAAGGACTTACCAATAGCTCTGAAAGCTTTTTTAAGACGGGGTATTTACATAATATTTTTTTAATATGCTTCTTTCTCTTCTCAAGAAACTCTTCAGTGTGACGACACGAAAAGCGCAGGGTCAGGGCTTTATAGAAATGAGCATCAAAGGCCACGTGGATAGGCAGAAGAGTCAGTGCAATGGGCTCGTTCATCTCATCACTTCCCGAAGTAAGCTTCTGAAATACGTCACCAAATCTGCCCACTTCATTAATAGTTTCACTTATCCTGTCCATGTCGACTTTAAAGAGGAACTGAATCCGGCCAGGAACTCACTGGCTTCAGAAACCGATCCTTGGGCCTAAATTGAGGAAGAAAGAGAGTGAGAGAGAGAAATGAATTTGTTGACCGGCGTAGTACGAAAAAGCAACAAAGTATCTTTTGAATTTCAACCTTTTCACTTAAACTTGAATGTACCTTGATGACATTATATTCTCTTGACAAAAATAGAAAGGAAAATTTAAAACTCCATAGAAAACGTAACATGGTAATAATAGTAATAATAAAAATCTCTATTAACATATGACCAATTTACATTCCACCATCATAGACTAAAATTTTGATGAAATAAAAATATTAAAAGATCCTGAAACACTAATTTACAAGCTCACACTATTATCGACTTTCTAAAATTTGCGGACACACACTTGGCTAGCTTTTAAGCGGCAGTCATCATATGACCAATTGATTTACATTTCACTATCTAAGACTAAAATTTTGATGAAATAAAAGTATTAAAAAGATCCCAAAATACTAATTTACAAGCTCACGCTTTTATCACTTTCTAAAATTAGCGGACACACGCCTGGTTAGCTTTTAAGGCACGTTTGATGAAAGATGAGAAAAATGGTTCTACTTGAAATCAAAACCCATTAAATTCGTGGTTGAGTCAAGCCTTAGTATCGTTTTTTTCTGTCTAAAGTTCACCTTTGTATACGGCTATTTCGAGAAAGGTTGTCGGAAAAAATGTGCACGTGACAATCCCTAAAGGTTATGAGATATGACTGAATACTCTGTTCCTGATATTGTAGCTGTCGAACCTGCTTTGTTTGCTTTCCTTTAGCACTCGCAAACATACATCCATGGCCTTTCGTGGCCATTCTTTTAAATTTCTTTTAAGAGCAGTGAACTCCAACCCCCCCCACAACATCTTTCGGGATCGTAGCGTGCACTTTTTCCGATAACCTTTCTCGAAATAGCCATATGTACAGCATGATTCTTTACTTTGCTCAAGGCATGATTTGTGAAATTTGTCGTCATGCTTTTGTAGCGGGTGATCTCTCTTGTTCCCAGTTCAACCTGCTCAACAATGTGCTAAGGGATGGAGAACAATAATTAAAAATGTAAAATGCGACTGGATGACGAAAGAAATCTGCAACATCTGTTTATTGATAAACTAGCTGATCAGCAGACGTTTTCTTTTTTTAACTGACAAAAGCGTGACCCAGAGGTACATTTATGGGGATTGATCGCAGCCGCCATCATGAAAGCAAAATATACCTGCCTTTCAGGCTATTGATAAACTGCTGGCCATAAATGAACCCGCTGCACCGAGTGCATAGCTATTAGGCCTGGTTTCGAACTTACATCCTTAAAACAGCAAGTAGCGCATGCTCAACAAAGATCTCTGATTCATGCAGTGTCTTTCTCGAGTACGCCAAAATCGAATAACTAGTGTAAGAAAAGCTTTCTTTGCAGAATGACCTACAACATGTGAAGCTTACTCTACAAGTCATTGTGTCGCATTTAAATGATTAATAACTAACTAACCGTTCCCCACTTGTCAATGAAGTTACCGTAAACACTTTTGTTAAAGTGCTCCGGCAATTTGCACACAGCAGCTGCGAAGTCGTCTGTTACAGAGAAGTTCTCACTTGAAGCCACATCAAGTAAGTACCCAGCTCGACCTTTATTGCAAACTTTTTTCTCTTCGTAGAACACGTTGTGATTTGTTGAAGTCTCCAATTTCATGCTTTCATACACTGCAGTAAAAATTAAAACAGCGTTAAGATCAGTGCGAAAGATGATTTTTCAGTCAGTGACACAGGCGGCTTGGGGGAAAAAAACCGAGTACTCCCAATCAAGAGTCGAACCTCAGATCTTCTGCTCCCAGATGTTCAATAGCACCTTTTGAACCACTGAATACCTACCTGGTTATTAGCTTCGACTCCTATTGCGGAGTACTCGAAGGTTTTTCTCCGAGCCGCCTGAAACATCTTTCTCATGTATTTCACTAGGCTTGAAATTCACTAATTTCACTACTAGTTGCGGCTCTATTACTTAAATCATACTGTTACGACGAACGACGAAAAAAAAAACTTGCTGAAGAGGTCAACTCTGAATACCACAGGATTCCAAAGATTAGGAGTTGCCTTCTCCTAACGTCGAACGCAATGACAAAATAAACCAAAAGGAAGATTTAATAATTCAAACTGTAACTTCAAAGGAATAAATTTTTTCTATGTGATAAAAAATAGATTTTTTTTTTCGCTTACGTGCGCTGAGAGAGAAAGCGAAATCTATCAATCCTAGGAGGTCGAAACCAGCTATAAAAAGACAGAAAGAAGGTCAATCATGTGCATGCATAACTAGCCGATTTTTTGAAAGCCAACCTTACGAAATTTGCAGTCATTTGAGTGAAAAAGCCTCAAAAGGCATATCTCTTAAGCCCGTGAAGCTCCAAAATCATAGTAACGAAGAAAAACAAAGGAGAAAAAGAAAGAGCGAGGAGAAGGAAAGAAGGAGTGAAAAGAAAAAAGCAATGGTTGCACTCTTAGTTTTTATAATAGCTACTTTGGAAAAAAAAAACTGTTCGACGCAAAAGGTCCATTTGGCGATAACGTTATCAAAAATTCGGCTAGATATAATTTAATTAAAATATTATTAATTTATTAACAACAATTCAAAAGTAAGTAAAATTTAACGCGGACAAGTTCTTGAAATCTGAAATAGAAATCGTTGATTTGAGCCCTATTTCTGAGGCCTTCCGGGGCGGGATGGCGGGGGCTGCTTTCGCATTATCTACAATTTCTGAGGCTACCTGTCACCTGGAGGCCGGGTTAAGTAAAATGTCGCCGTCAGATTTGGCGTAAATTTTTATGATACTCAATTTGGAACTCACTGTAGATATAGTGCCTGGAAAGAATTAATTGTTTTTCACCTCTCTCCTTCGGAGGACCGATCTTGAACAATACCAAAATTAAAAAAAAAACGTTCCAAAGAGAATAACAGAGAATGTTTGGAAATAAAGAAGGCTAGAGAGTTTGTTATTTTCCTGCCAAAACAGCCAATGCAAAAATGAACAGGTGTCGATTCACTACTTAAAAATGCATGGATTGTCGCCGTTACAATTCTTTCCTTCTTTTATGTCGATTGTCGGTGCTTTCGAATTCTGAGAGGATTGTAGCCAGTTTTCGGGGGCATGTCGCCTGTCGCCTGTCGCTTCTATCCCTTGGAAGGCCTCATTTTTAAAATAATAATAATAATAATAATAGTAATAATAATAATAATGATAATAAATCAAATTTATATAACGCTAAAATATAAAATATTTTAAAGCGCTTGACAGTGGATTTAGAAAAAGCATAGAATAAAAATTTATGTGTTTAAAAATAAAACAATTTAAAAACATATAAGATTAAGATGGCTTGTAAGCTACTTTAAAAAAGTAAGTCTTAACTTTGATTTAAAAATAGTAATATAATAGGAAAACCGTGCAATTATTGGGAGAATCATTGGATTTGCATGCAATAGAAAAGAAAATACATATACATGTTTTTTATTAGTCGTTCAACGACTCGTGATTCGTTGCTCCCCTGGGTTTTAGGCTTGAGAGAAGACAAGAAAAGGTGAATAAGGCTATGTTTGCACTATACCGGATAACTCTTGCGCTGGCACGAAAACTGTAGTGTTTCATGGTCAGTGAAACATCCGGATTTAACCAAAATAAATGCACACAACAACAGATTCAACTCGACACTTGACCATGTGCTTTTTAATTACCCATAACTCATTTCGACCGTACACAATTACATCATCGATACTACAAAAACCATACCGTGTAAGGCTTCTGTTTACACATAAGAACGATGATTTCGGCGCGATTTCTGTAACGGAAGGCAGCTGCCCCTCACCGATCTCGAAAGTGAAGCGTCACATATGGCGGACAGGTTCTGCGCAAAACTTCGGTGCAGTGCTCGTGTAAAATGTATTCGGTCGGTAGCGGAAGTGAATAGATGAAAGTAAATATTCAGGAGTGAGGACTGGGAATTAATTCACCAAATTAAGCCCTCTCGGCCAAACGTTTCGGCACGATGTTCGATGAGTGAACGCCTTGTTCTAGTTCGGTGCCTTTGTAACCTGAGATCAGGCCCAATTTTAGTGGTTCTCATGATACATTCTCTCTAATGTTATTACAAAACGAAACGAAAATTGAGCCTGATCTCAGGTTAGTGCCGTTGCTGTTCATACCATACCAAACAGGGATAGCTTTTCGTATCGGCACGAAAGTTATCCGTTATAGTGTCAAACGTAGCCTAGGTTAGTTGGGAGGAAACAACAAGTCATGGAAAGTGCATGGAAGTTTTACTTAAAGTAGGAGTAAATACCAGATGCCTCCACGTCAGCTTTAAGCTTCGACTGATAACTCTTAGAGCCAAACACAATCGACGCTTTCGTCTCCTTATCCTGGACACAGGAAAGACGCGGACTAAATGCTATTTGATCCGGAACTTTGTATCCACCAGTCAATTTGTTGGTTTTGTAGGTTAGGCTGAAAATCTTTCTTGAAACCAACAGGCCATGATCGATGCCCCCATGTTTTTTATCATCTCCCTCTGGATTCCCTTCCACTATGTTGTAGCCGATACCCACGAAGCTTACACCATTAGGGGACCCATCCTGCCCAGTAACAACAGCAGCACCAAGAATGGTGAGGAAAACGCAAAATAGCATGCTTCTCCTGTCTTCTTTTACAAAAACAAAATTGCACGCATACTTCTAATACAGTCAAACCTCTTATGACTAATGTATAGGTGTAAGTCGTGTAAGCGACCAGTCCCGAATTGAAACGTTAAGAAATTTGTGGTGGCTTACCAAGGTGTACTAGCCTGCGTAGCAAGCGCTTGACGACGGTGGCGAAAACGTCTGTTAAAAAGTGAATTCATGCTGTTTCAAAATTCGTCGCCCTTCTCCTATGTCGTTAGTTTTTCATATGCTGGTGAATTTTTTTGGAATTGAATTCTAAAGGACTGCATCTGAGTTTTAAAAAAGAATTAGGAAATTCTTTTGTTCTCGTTCCCCCAAAAACGTGAAATTGGAGCAGTTCATGAGTCGTGCGGTGACGGCAAGGAAATATACAAAAAGCCGTGATGCTCCCGCACAGTTGTTTTTTCTACTAATCTAAACGTATTGCTTTTTTACCGTTTTTGTTGCCGTCGCCGTCCTCGTTGCTTAAGCTTTCTACTATGACAGCAAAAACGGGGCGCGCGGAGACATGCCTATTCCCTCACGCGTCTCCCTCGCGCGCCCAGTTCTTTCTTGGGCTCAGTTCTTTCAAGCGCCTGCTACGCAGGCTAAAGGTGTACAAGGTATCTATAGCGCGAACTGTACATGTTCTAATTGTTTTATTATACAATTTATGAGTGAAAAGTTTTGGTATTAAAAGTGCGCCGTGTACTCTAACATATAAATAAAACGTCGTAAAGAAAGAGCAACAGTTATCATAATCAGCGATTAAGTCGTACCCCTTCTTAGGGCGCGAGGCGGATCAGACCATCTGTTAAGAGGTCTATCAAGGGAGGTTTGAAACCGACTAAACAACCGACTGCGTGCTTTGACAGGGAAAATTTTTAACCATAAATATTATTATTATTATTGATATTATTTTGGATAGGTGGTCGCCTACCGTAAGGGAGTTAGCCGCTTTTAAGAGGTGGTCGCACATGAAGTTAAGACTGTATTCTCATTATACAGGGGCACCCAACGTCAATTTTCGGAAATTATCTGTTCGGAACGCAATTTCAGATCTAGAATTTTCGGAACATTTGTTGTAAAATTTCTTGCTTACCTGCCTCTCCTAGGATTTTCGAACATCTGAAAAATGGTATAATTGTCCATTTTTAACGGATTTTTACCCTAAGAAGGTCACCTAGAATTTTCGGAAGCCTTTTTCTGGCTGAAATTTTCGAAAAGGTAAGTTTTGATCCCTATAATTTTCGGATCACTAGACTTTCAGCTAGGAAATCCGAACAGATGAAAAATTTTAGGGGATAAAAATATGCCTATATCTACCGTTTAAATACTAAAATAAGTTTTTAAACAATGCTATGTTAAGTGGTTTTGAACTATATTCTCCTTGGGTGCCCTTGATTATAATATGCAGTCTGCTCTCTTTAGTTCAAGTCAATTCACCTTTGTCAAAGTCCTGGTCAAAGGTGAGGTTGTATTAAGCGCAGCGAGGGAGCAAAGTCGATAATATCAATTTTAGGGTAACAGGATCATGTATAGAATACAGTATTTCGGTTTTAGGTCAAAAATGTGCTAAAATAATCTGTTAGCTTTGGTCCTTCTTTCCTTCTACTAGGGCAGGGTATAGCGGAGAAATCTATTTTACCAAAAGTAAATCTTAAAGTTGCAATCAAATGACTAACGTTTACTTGTACTGAAATGTATAACAGGTGTTCTTTACCAAGGAGAAACAAAGAAATCAAAAAAGCAAACGGGAAAAGAATTTGCGTTAAATTACTAGCCAAATAACAGTAAAAGTTAAGTAAAATAATCATACCTTTAATCTTTGTCAGATTAGTTTTCAACACCGCAGGCGAGAGGCATGCCTCTCCGGCTTCTTCACACCCTTCTTCTTAGGTGAGGTGACTAGTTTTAAATATTCAGTTGATGCAATTGCAATTGTTATGCCGATATATCGGAGCAAACAAAGAAGTAAACTTGTAAAACAATTTTCAATTCATGTAACATTTATTAGAATGTCGGCTTTAAAAACAAAATTGAAAACGACACCTTTTCAATGAACGTACCAAAAGGGTTGAAGACTTTACTGGCAAAATTGAATGCATGCGCACTCCAATATTTTAATTCATAAAACATGTGAGTTAGGAGCAAATAAACGTTGTAAATAATATAAGTTGTGTTATTTTACCCCCAAAAAGCAAACAAACAAAAACCGACGGTTGAGTGACTCTTTCCTATACTGAGCCAGGTCAGTCAACCCCGATGTTTTTACTTCCCTTTTCTCTCTTAAAGGAAATATTGTCTTTTCCACGACGTATTATGGAAATATGAAATATTTCGTCCAGAGACTAAGGGTTAATTGTATTATGCTGGGGAAAGAAATGCAGAATAAGTGGGATTTATATTTATTTTTGTTACTCGAGATGTGATAGCCAAATCAGGTAAAAAAAAACATCATTTATCAGAGTTTTTTTGTCCGATTCAACTTTTATAGCGATCGACTTGCTACTCACACGCTTCACTACTGCGCGTGCTCAGCTCCAAAGTTTTGCCTCATTAATACAGCAGATGTGTTTGAAAATGTTCTGACATTAAAACGAAAGAGAACGAGCAATTAATAGCAATGCAGCATCAACAAATACTCCAAAGGGCAAAATACTTATGATTAGTTTTAGATGCCAATCGTAAATCTGATGTTTTATCAAAATTCACGAGGCACGACGGCTGAACAAATAAAAAATATTTTTTAACTGCAAGAATGCACCGTTTTAAGAGGGAACCGAGAAATGACAGAAAAATATGAATATTGCAGTACTGTCCCAAGGACTTTTGTCCAGGATTGTAGCTACAACGTAGCCCCTCTCGCCGGCTTCAGTCAATCAAAGAAGCGGGTGCTGTATCCCCAGCGATCCTTCTTACTCTCCATGACGAGTTTTCTGAGCGAACGTTCATGTGGTTCACAGTCGGAAGTTCGATTCCAAAAAGAATCTAATTCATGGTAGACTTTGGGTTGAAGAAGCTCCTCATGGAGTGCTTTGCAAATGTGACAAGCGAACTGGGGCATGTGTTTTCTTTGGCTGCCGAATTTCCGTCGCCATTGAAAGTATTGATTGTAAGCAGTGTCGTTTTTATCAAGATACTGGAGGTAAAGGGCTAAGGCTTTTACTGAGGGAAAGTCTTGAGCACTAATAAATGATCCTGGAGGAGCTATAGGAATGTAAATATCTTTGGCAAGAACGACTGGTACAACCCTCCAGTCTAGCGTATTCCAAAACTTCTCTGTAACATAATCAGTACATGCCGCATTTTCAAACGACAAGTAAAATTTATAAGTTTTGAAAAGTTCGACGCATTCTTGAGAGCCTCTAGAACATTTGTTGTTTTGCCCGTATACACTACCACATTTACCATAAACATCAACTTGGATGTGTTTAAGTAACTCCTTTACATATATTCCCCTAGTTTGCGGTCCGCAATTAGATACAGCCCATGCAACGAGTTTGTCTTTACCTTCAGCGTAATTTGTGTCGTTCGATGTGCTAGCCGCTGGCAATTGAAGTGGAAAGAAATGTCCGTATGGTAATGGGAAGTCTGATGTCCGTTTAAATGTCAGAGTCCAGTTAAAAAATCCTTTAGGTATGAAAGAAATATCCGCTATGTCTGGGTGAAGCAAACTTTCTTGTGTAAGAATTGCTATGCGTTGGTAAGAGCATCTGTATTTATGAATCTGCTGAATTTCTTCCCATCTAGGCGTATCTCCCTTATACCCAAGATGAAATATGACGGCGTCACTTTGTCCAATATCGTCAACATCGTAGGTTATTCTGCACTTCATCGATGGACAATCCGCGAGAAAGCTTTCATTGGAGTCCATACCCCACCAGGGCTTTCCACCAAACCACGTATTATAGAACAATATCAGTTTTGTACTGTTATTTTCATGTGAAACATTTGCTGTTTTTCGCGATCGTTCAACATTAGTAGTTCTAGGCTTACACTGCCATGGACTTAATAACCTCGCTGGATGTAGTATTTTTTCGTATATTACTTTCATCGATATCAAAACGGAGGCAAGAACAGTAATTAAAATCATATGTCGCCGCTTGGCAGCGAGTGGACATCTAAAAAATAAAGTTTTCATTCGAAACTTGCCTGAAAACGAATTAAATGTTCCGATGAAATTGTTGTCTCCCAGCATTGACTTTATCAAAGTTGACTTCTATATGCTAATCAGCGACTGTAACCTGCTCCAGCTGAAGTGTTTTTCATGGTTTAGCATACACCTATTTCAATAAAGGTTGCTTTGGGATTTGGTCATTGAAACACAGAATACAATGCAATGCTTTGCTTGAGTGACCACCAAACAATAGCTTTCGAAGTCAAAGCACGATTCCCAAAGCAACCTTTATTGAAACAGGTATATAATTTTTGCTCGTGAAGGTTGTCACGTAATGGTCGGTCACCAGTGGCATCAGGTCACAAAGCATCTGAGACCTTTAGGAGGGTCTCAATGGGGTTAACTGATAGGCGTGAAACGGCCAAAAATTTAGTCGATAGCCGTAAAAACTGAAAAATTTCTGGTTTTCCAGAAGAAGCTGGAGAGCAAAGCAAATGTGGAATCCTCCTCTGCTATTAAACTTGTTGTTGTTGAGGACAACTGCAAGTTAGCGGAGGTTTTCTAGTCATTTTTTTCCGTACGAATTTTATCTGTTCGTTATTTTTTGTATGATTTATTAGGAATCATGAAGAATCTCGCACAGAAGGTTTAACTCTTTACGGACAAGGGCAGAAGGAAGAAGCCAAGGAACTATTCAAAAAGGAGGGCCTGAGGGCCGCTTCGATGACATATATATATATTACAAAAAAAATATCATATTTTTCAAGACGAATAAAAAGGAAATGAAAGAAAGTATTCTGAGCTGATCGTGTAGTGAAAGTATTCTAAGCTGGTTCGATCGTGACCGCGCGAGTATATATTTATAATACTAAAGATGCCGCGGAATGGAGTCACGATTCACGCACGTAGGTACGTAAACTTCAAGTGGCATTTTGACCCGAAAAACGGCGGGGCCCGCTGGGGCCCGTCGACCATTTCAGATTCTTGAACAACAAAACTCAGGGGCACCCAACGACAATTTTCGGAAAAATATCTGTTCGGAAGACGATTTGAGATCTAGAATTTTCGGAACATTTTTTGTAAAATTTTTTGCTTGGCTGCCTCTCGTAGGATTTTCGAACATCTGAAAACTACTATAGTTGCCCATTTTTAACAGATTTTTACCCTTAAAAGGTCACCTAGAATTTTCGGGAGCCTTTTTTCTGGCTGAAATTTTCAAAAAGGTAAGTTTTGATCCCTGTTTCGGATCACTAGACTTTCAGCTAGGAAATCCGAACAGATGAAAAAATTTTAGGGGATAAAAATCCGGGGAGTACTGCCAAATATGGGCTATATAGATATGTACCGCTGTGAAGGGTATGGTTAGCCTGTTTTGTCGAGCCGGGCTCCCGCCCCAATCTCCTCGCGGTTTCTCTCCCCTCGCCCGCCTTTATTACTTAGCGCGCCCAACCAAAACCGCCATGCTACGCAGGCCAGGGTATGGTTTTCAAGCAGTTTACTCTAGGATAGGGTATATAAATCAGAGCGTTTGGGTCTAGAATAGGGTATCATTTTTCAAGAAACTGATCAGTTGGTTATGCCTATATCTACCGTTTAAATACTAAAATACGTTTAACAATGCTATGTTTAAGTGATTTTGAACTATATTCTCGTTGGGTGCCCCTGAAAACTAATAGATTATGCTTAAAATGGAGGTCAGGGGTCGTTGAACACAGAAAAGACTAGACTGAAAAGCATAAACAATAGCTCTTAACTAAACAATGGGATTATGCGCATGAAGAATTACAACGAACAATATCAATAGAAAACAAGCATACATCATATTGTTTTAAGAACTGCGGCTTGCTACATCTGTCTACTCAAACTCTTCCAAAAAAATTTATCGTAAATCACTTGATAAACGGCGAAAATGGAAGAAAATCGAAGACACTACCCGCACAAAGGTGAAAGAATCAGTCTGCCATCTGCAATGATGTGATTGGACAAAATTGGTCACGTGGACCGTGTCCAACACCGCCTGACCGTTAGCCGTAAATAGAGCAAAAAAGAGTTAACCGTAAAAGAAAATGTTCCCTATATCTGTTAATTTTAAGGAGGGTACTAAACTCACTTATGGTTGCGTTTTTTTTATTTCCCGGCTAGTGTGACTCCTTACGCACATTCGGTAAAGCGCCTTCTAGGTGATGACCAAGACCTAGGCTCCATTTCCGCCGCTTTATCGGGGAACCAAATTTTTTCCATAGCGAAAGTGTGGCTTCTTGATGGGGATTAATATTTGCGATTTTCAGGAGGTCGTGCCCTCGAGACACTAGTGAAACAACACGCAGAGATGTCACGGTTTGTAAAACACGTTGCCGATAAACAACATTTCCCTGTTTTTCTCTGACGCTACAGTAGACATTGCCATAGTCCCTGTACGGCGTCTTCCCACGCAATCTCGGTCAAGGCATTTCGGTGGCGAACTCGGCTCGGACCACGTGACCCGAAACGCGTTGGCCGCGCGAAATAATGAGGCCTACGGACAAGGCAACGGCAGACAGTCGTTCCGTACAGTCCTTCGCTATCATTAAAAACACTGGACACGGGAATTTTCTTATTGGCTGTTTTCACACTAGAGCTAGAAATGGTTTATCCTTCTGAGACTAGCCTGTGTACAGTCGCCCTCTTCCCGACAGACTCCTCTTCTCCGATTTTTTCTGAGGGGAGGGGGAGGCTGTACACAGGCTATCAGAAACGGATGACCGTCTTTAAACTGTCCGTCGAAATTGACGGATAAAGTCAGGCGGATTGTTCATTCAAAATTAAAACTATTCCATTTTCAAAGTAAGACGTATTACCTATCTGACGCGAATCATCAAACGGATAACCCGTCTCACATGCACGAATAATCCGTCTCTAGTGTGAAAAAGGCCATTTCTGTTGTAATGAACCTTGAGTTAGGCGTTCGCGTGTGTGCTTTGCTTTTTCACAAAGATTATTTTTAAATTGGCTATGGACATTTCTATGCGTAAAATAATATTAGAAGTGGAATACTTTATAAAAAAGTATGATCTATCAAATGTTAAAATTTTTTCATCCCGAGATGATCCTAAGACCTTTATTTTGCTTTAAAGATACAAAAAATATAGGTTAATTAATATTTAACTTTTTGAAACAAAAGAAGTTAATATTTAACTTTTTTATTAACCGTAACTGAAAAAAATTAACCGATAGCCGTAAAAGAGCCAAAATTTTAGCCGATAACCGTAAAAGCCACTACCCCATTAAGACCCTCCTTTAGCAATTTGCAGTTATTGACATATCACGCAACAGTGCTCAGGAATAAAATATATTACTGTACTCGAAAATCAGGGGCACACAAGGCTTTAGATCTCTAGAAATGCATTCTAAGCGGAGCTATAAAATTTGCATCTGCTCTGTCATCCGAGGGGAGCTTGAGGATTTTCGAAATTACAAAGGCTTCACTGTTCTTTTCCCGAAAAGTTTAGATGAAATTGATCGTTTTAAGAAAGTGAGATTTTTTCTAATTCCTCACGTGCACTCCATCATATCTTTGAATCCGAAAATTTTAGGTTTCCTTTTTGCTACGAAAATTAGTCTATAACAATGGGAATGAAATGTGAAAACTTCAGAGCTTCAGAAAATCGTATATAGGAATTTTTTTAAAAAATCGAAAATTGTACCGGAATGGAACGCTCACCTAAATTTTTTTAGCCATATTCAAGCCCTTCCATGTATAAGCCTCTCCAAATATAAGCCCTCCGAACCGGTAACGCAAAAAACCCTCCGTGAAATCGCCTCTCCAAATATAAGCCCCCCCCCCCCCCCCCCGGGGGGCTTGTACTTGGAAAATTACCCTCAAAGACAAAGTAAAACAAAGCAAAAACGGTGAATTTACTTCCAACTATAAGGCTAGCCCAATCGATTTTGAAACGCAAATTTCCCTCCGTAGATAAGGCCCTCCGAATATAAGCCCCTCCAAAAATAAGCCCCCCAAATAGGGCCTTTGAAAAACATAAGCCTCGGGGCTTATTTTCGGAATTTTACGGTATACTGGAATATGTGCCGCAGCGTTTATTATTTTTATTACATAAACATAGGAAACTGTTTATTAATACTGTTATATGAAACCAGAAGCATATAACCCCGAAGCGTATCAGTATAACTTTGTCGCAATGCTCGGGTTTTTTTGGGAATCAATCAAAATTTTCTTTCTAACAAGGAATTACTGATAAGCGAGATTGTCGTGCGAGTGCTCTATAGGAAAACTTGTATCGCGATGTAAATGATGCGGTGCAAAAAGCATTTACTGTTTTACGAGGTAATATTTGACAAAAAACGGAATACACGATTAATCCCCAAATGACCAAGAATGAGTTAGTTCCTCCTAAAAGAGAAGCGATTTCTTTAAGTTGTCACTTCAAAAACCATTTTTGCCTGACCATTAGCGCAAATCACCTTTTAAAAAAATCAGTTAATATCTACCTAGAATATGTAAACTACTAACATATATTTTCAGAAAAAAAATTCACTAGTTGCTGAACTGGAAAGTGTAAATTGTATAAAATTCCCTGACATCTTCACAGAAGTGGTGCGAGTAATAAGACACTGAATAAGAACGATGAAACGCAAGTTAGTATTTACAACTAATGTTATGAATGAACAAATAGAAAACAATAAACAGATAAATTGTTTCTTGAAAATTTTTATTCGAAAACCCATAAGTTTACCGTTAAAAGCAATTCACGTAACACTGACATCGTCTGGATCCGTTTCCACAAGTAAAATCGGCTGACAGTAAAATTATCTGTCTCAGATCGGGCGCATTTCCCAATTTTTCTTGAAAAATCTATCAAAAATATATAAAACGTCTATGAAACATTTATAAATACAGTAAAAACCCACGAGTAAGAACCTAAGATTTAAGAACCTGTTAGGCTAAAATTTGCAGTTTAGACCCCCTCTTTATAAGAACCTCTTTAGCCTAAATTTTTTTCAAAAATCATTTTAAAATATTTACTATTTGCAATTATTGCAAAAGGCAAGTTAGTACATATATAAATGTTGTTTGATTGAGGTCATTGAGAAAATGTTTATAATGTTGTGTTTTACAGCACAATCATGTATATAAAGTTGTTTTGACTCAAGTAATTAAGATTCATGTGAGAGTAGATCTCTATTATGGTCATATTAAAATACAAGCAACATTAGGTATGCAAATTTAAGGGTGCTGATTACTAAAATCTTCTTATCAACGACATAATTTTTTGCAAGAAATTAAGAACCTATTAAGAAACTAGGTAGCCTAACTTTATGTTAACCACCATATATGTAGGAACCTGTTTAGGCTAACCCTGGAAAATGTAGGTTCTTACTCGTGGGTTTTTACTGTACATAAATTTCCTTTCATCATCGTACTCCTCCCCCCCACCCCCCTTCGCTCGCGCGTTCTCGCGAGGCTCGCTTTGCTTGCCCAAATAGGAGAGCTTGCTCGCAGGCTAACCTTGCTATGTCATTTTGTTTGTAGTCACCATGCTGGTTTTGCTGAATGAGAACAGACGTTGCAGATAACTGGTTTGCCGAGGTAGATAGGTTTGCAGCTAGTAGCCTGCGGATGATCTTTGTCAGTCAAATAGGCTGCAAACGCATTTTGCTGATTTCGGCGAGAGGCTTTGCGATATCGTGAAGAAATGTAAAAGCATGTAGACATCCTTGTCTTATTTCGTCGCTGGTCGATGTTTTCAAGCCATACCGCTTATAACTTCGTGGCTCTTTATGTTTTCCCAGGGTTGCATTTTATAGCAGCATACATGTAATTAATCTTTTATGCCACGAAACGATTTCTTTCGGTGATAGACACTCATGTTTAAGCGTTGCAAGCTCAAAGCTTCAATGCTCTGATTCCATATTTGGGCAAAACAATTTTGCGTCCTTCTGATTGGACGGCTGCTTCGGCTAAAAAACCCGAGCATGGTTCTAAACAGATAAGGGGAATTTAGACGCTTCGGGGTTATATGCTTCTGATGAAACAAATTTACCTATTTAAAACTGTAGCCTGAAATTACAGAAAGAAAACAGAATTTCCGGTTTGTAAAAAGGAAAATTTCGCCGACCTTCAAGCGCACTGAGAAAGGAGCGCTTGTGCCAGTCCTACTCCGCATTAAACAGATACGGCGTAACGGACTACGAACTACGGCTGAAAGAGCGTTGTCCATTGTTTGTAGCACTGGGTTGAGTCGTGCAAATATAGAACGTTAAGATTGCAGTACAGACAGTAGACTACGAGAAAAGGGGCGGAGAGGGAAACAACACGCAGTTCACAGAAATGCAAGTATATACATGCGATCTTATCTTTGGAATAATGAGCAAATTCTCCCATACCTGGGGAAGCAATCACGTCGGGTGGAATTGGTGAACAAAGTTTTGGTTAAACAGTTTTTTGATTTTTCGCCAACGAATACTTATGTCAAATGTTAAAGAAATAAACAGAAATAATAATAGTTCATTTATTAGATTTAGAAGATGGACTTCTCCGATTACTGATTAGTTTGAAGTATCGAAATGCCGAGTTTCGATTATCTCACAGATGTTTATATCATTTTCATTCAGCAAAAGCGATATAAAAACTCGCATAAACAAAGGTTACACAAGCAGAAAGACACACTAATCAATTCGAACAAACGTTGAAACTTTCAAGTGCGAAGAGAAAGTAAATTACTTGCATGATTTCTGTTCTTGGCCGTCAATCCGAATTCTGCGTATAAACGGCTAAGCTTATTTAAATATGAGGCTGCGTGCAAACGGACGCAACACTGTTGGATGTTACGTGTTGCGTCCGTTTGCACACCCTGTTGCATGTTGTTGGATGTTGTTGCGTGTTGTTGCGCAAAGGGTGAAACCAGTCAAACTTTTCAGCCAACAACTCCCAACATTTTTTTGTTCCGTGATCACCGAAGCGTAGTGCAACAATGTTGGATTCGTTTGCACAGCTCTTCCAACATTGTTGGGGCCGCGCACGCTCATTACGCATGGTTTACAAAGACTTATGGGTTGTATCCTTCCCACGATGCACTGCAGGCCACAACATCGTTGAAAGTTGTCGCATCCGTTTGCACACCACTGCCAACATGCACGCGACAACTCCCAACATTGTTGGCGCAACAATGTTGGGAGTTGTTGCGTCCGTTTGCACGCAGCCTGAGCTTACTGAGTTTTAGATAAAAATGTAGTCACAACTTTAAGTGGTTCGAGTATTTTAAAAGCGTAGATGTGAGCAGAAATTAGACACAACTTACATATTTCGCTTTCCTCTCAATTAAAGCAGGTGAATTGAACACTTTTTTACGCAAAGACAAGATTCTAGAATTACTGTGACAGCAAAATGCGAACAGAATGTTCTCCGTAGTGGCGACTACGTGAAACAGCTCAACAACTCACCGTAGCGGCAGGACTATATGGGAACAATGAACAGTCACGTGGTTCTGATCATGCGCAGTAGTATGTTTAACCGTAGTCGTAGTCCGTAGTCATCCTATCTTAAAGTCCCTATTACTTGAAAAACGGAGCGCTTGTTTCATCGCCCAACTTTTATCCGCCCCGGGCGAAAGGAAGTCTCGGCCCGCATTTTGAGTGCGTTTGAGACTGGGCCGATACCCTGTCGAATTGTACCATGGGACTACTGCGTCTTTCGCTTCTTTTATCGGCCATTACGAAGTTTCATAGGAAACTGGGTTCAAATTCGTGCCACGAAAAAGTCCCACAGTGCAATTTCGACACCACACTGACACAGACTCACGCGCCAAAATGAGCAATAGTAGGAATCCTTGTCACTTCGTCAGAAGTCGGAAAGCACCGGAGCACCTTCGTCGGAAAGCATCGGAGCGCCTTCGTCGGAAAGCACCGGAGGTTCAGACTGAATGTTTATTGATAAAAAGGATTTGATGCTTTGAGATCCTCCCAAAGAGACTGCACCAGATCAGAAGTTGTCAACTTTTTCTCCAACATGTCCTCAACTAGCAGCCTAGGCTCTCGTCCACCTCCATAGGCCAGCATCGTGTGACGGTACCTATCGCCCATCTCACGTGAGAAGGGATTCTTAGCGAAGCACTGATGCCAGATGCGGGACGCTACAGCTCTGGACCATAAATAAGAGTAGTATTTAGCACCATAACCGTTGAGGTGGCTAAATCTCTGTTGCCAGGCTGTGCCTGTATTAAAATAAGAAACATGTGGCGTTATTGATCAAACTTACTTGAGAAAACAGCCGACATTTTGCGGCGCCACTACTGGTTCGTGGTTTCCCCACGAAATGACGTATAACGTATTCCAAACTGATGAAGTGTATCTACCCAGATCGGCAAAATTAAAGAACAGCTCCCCCAAAAATCTGTCGGCCGTCCGTCGGTAGACTGTCGGCAAACAGACGACCAACTGTCGGCCGACAAACGACCAACAGTCGGCTGAAAGTTTTCTCAATATAAACGGAAAAGTGTCGGCCGACTGTTGACCAACAGTGCCAACAGTCGGTTAACGGTTACTTGCGAATAAGGACGACTAATTGCTAAATATTAACCAAATGAACCCGACAGTCGTGAAACAGCCCCTTTTGAGGGTCTCAATGGGGTGGTAGCTTTGACGGTTGACGGGTAATTTTTTCTAAGCTTGACGGTTGACGGTTGAAAATTATTAAGTAGAGAGTAAGTCCAAGAGTTAAAGTAAATCAGTTACTGACTTCAAAATTAGCTTTTGTATCTTGGAGGTTGTCTTGGCCTTTCGCTTTTAAATTTCGAAATGTTTTCAGACACAAGCAAGTTATAAGGTCTTGTTATGTCCAGAGAGTGTGTTTTTCAGAACATGGGAACTGAGTTTTCCAGTTTAGAGATTCTTCAGGAGCCCAAAGTCCGTGTGAAGATCAGCTGAAATAGTGAAATTTGAGATACCTTAAAACTTTTGGATGGTCAATATTAATCTACGTTTTGACGGGTTGCGGTAAAAAATAACCTTTTTGGACGGTTGACGGTTAAATTTTAGGCCGTTTGACGGCTGACGGTTAACTCCATTGAGACTCTCTTAAAGGGGTAAAAACATGGGAGCAATTTTGGTTTCTAGGAAACTGCCCACCACCTACCCCGCCCCTAACCCAACATTTTGCCCCAAGTGAGAAGTAAGTGTAATTTTGACTTAAAGGGAGGGGTAGGTGGGAAGTTCCCCAGAAGTTTACCTAAATTGATCCAAAACATACCTGGTGCGTGTGGGATCACTGTATATTCTTCCTGTACTTGAGCAAGGATGTCTGTCGTTGAACCAGTTAGTGGATGTGTTCCATGATATATCTGATCAATCATCGCATAGAGAACTTGTCGTTGCATCTCCAGCGCACCAAACATGGACCTCCCCTGACAAAGACGAACAGCTACTTCATCGGGCAGGCTCTGCCCTGTTTTGTAATGCTTTGCAAACGCAGTTAGCACCCTAGGATCCCATGCAAAGAACTCCATAAGCACTGATGGGACTTCAGCAAAGTCTGTTGAACATCTGGTGCCTGTGACATGTTGGTACTGAGTTCGAGCAAGCATAGAATGCATTGCATGCCCCATCTCATGAAACAGATTTTCCACCATGTTGTGGGTGAGGAGGGAAGGGGATGAGGGACCAGGTAATGGAAAATTGCAGACCAGGACAACAACTGGCAGCTGGTAGGTTCCATCTTCAAGTAAACGACCCCCTTAAAGAAAGATTAATAGCAAATTCTAGGCTTTAAATTGTGGCTTCACCCTGTGGAATTATTTCTAATCGGGTCTAGTTACGTATTGCTTAAATAGCGATAACCACTGAAAGGATCATAATTTTATCTTCATTTAAAATTTGTCTTTCCGCAGTTAACATCATCTTCATGTTTCATTCCTTTTATGGGTTAAGATGAACTCCAATGTATAGGCTGCTCCCAATGTATAGGTCTTCATAGCTGAAAAGATCACTGCAGTGCTAATGCAGAGGCCATGGGTTCAAATCCCATTGAAGTACCAAAATTCTTTTTTTCGGCTTTATTTGCAATTGCTTAAATTGCAATTACCACTGTGACGATCATATCTTCATTTAAAAATTCATTTAAAAAAACTAAGAAAGGACCATAACCAGGGAGACACTCCCACAAAATTAATAAAATCTGAGCTAGATGGGTATGTGCCGCCTGGTGGGATAATTATGGTTTTTAAAGGTCTCAATCCTTAAAAAAGCCCTAAGAATGTCTACATAGGAGGCTATAATCGAAGTTCCACCAACAAGGAGTCTGGAATCCAGTGCTTGGAATCCAGAATCCAAAAATGGGGCAACTTACAGAGAGTACATTTTGCAGAGAATTACAATAACATTTCTACTGCCCTGTAATGACTGCAGATTAACCTTAATGCCCTTAGCCACACTATTCACCTCTGATTGTAAAATGTGAATCCTGCTGCAGCTTCTCTTCTCTATTAAAGAAGTCACAATAGATGTAACCCAGCAAACCCTCCGCTTCATGAACCACACCCAGTTTTTGGACATAAGGGGACCATAACTCTCCCTCTGCTGGGTCTTGGGTTTCTAAGGAGATCCCAAACAGACTCTTAAACAGAAGGTTTAGGCCCTCCATACAGGCACCCAGTGGAAAATATGCTGATATAGATGAGCTATTGAGTTTTGCAGACTGATACTTTGCCATACTAGAATAATAGTGAAGATCCCAGGGCATAATTGGCTCTGTATTAGAAGCTTTTGATGTGTGTTTTTTCAGTCCAGTTAAAATGTCCAATTCCTTCTTCGCTGGTTTACGAAGCATGTTAGCGGTAAGTTTTAGAAAATCCATAACATTTTCTGGTGTTTTTGCCATTGTTCCTGTAAGGGCACGATGGGTAAAACTTGGGAAGTTAACCAGTCGAGCAAGTTGATGCCGCGCACTCAGAAGCATGTCAAGAGTGTTGAGCTGGGTCTTTACAGGCTTCAAACAGGAGAGATAAACCAGCTCACGCAACTTTTCATTGTTTGAATCCAAATACGCAGATTCAATGATTACATGGCCATCACTGACTGGATAAATACCAGTTAGTTTATCTGCCATTGGAAGATCAGCCAGTGGTACTTGAACAGGCATTGATGCAGTTTGAGAAAATTGTGCACCAATCACTAAGATTGCTTCCTGGAGTTCAACAAAAAACCTACGTTTCTCCTCATCCAAGTGAATCCCACTTTGTTCAAAGTCAAACAAAAACAACTCTGCAACTCTCTTGGTTTCTTCATCCATCTGTTGCTTGTCTTCATTAGAAAGCATTTTTCCCAGGGCTTGATACAAGCCTGGGTGCGTATTGAGCTCCTCTACATAGCTACTGATTCCCCTTGAAGTATCTTCAGCAGCGTTTCGGAAGCGATGATCAGGATGTGTTAATCTTACAAACTCAGCCAAATCGGCAGCTGCACACAAAGTGTCTGACAGCTTGTCAAACAGCCCCACTAACCGAGGGGTGGGGGGAGATTGGAGGACATTATTGACAATTTTGCCTCCTTCAAATAAAGCCTTATTTTTCAGCTCAGTAAATCCCGATGTGTTAGTTAGCTCTGGCTTCCCAAAAAGACCAGTGGGTCTTAAATAGCGATCTTCTCTTGGATGTGGTGAATTGAAAGCTGTGGCCAATGGACTCCATGTCGCAACACAACAACTGGCATCCGCTCTCGCACGAGGAACACTTCTTCCCCAAAGCGCAAGTGGAAGGCGACGGCTTTGTAGGGCAATTCGGCCGTAAAAAAGTGTCTCCATGATATTAAAGCTTTGTGGCCGGTTTTCACACAGGGAACATTTTTCCTGATCACGTTCTCACCACGCCATCTTGACTTTGAGAGACCTCTGTGGAATAGAACGCCATATAAAAATACACAAACGTTCCTGTACCAATAACAAGTGTTTCCCCGGGTCCCTGTGAGGTCGGGCAGTTTTAATTTTGTCACCACCCGCTGCAAAAAAAAATTAATAATAATAATGATAATAAAGAAAGACAGAAATGAAAAAAAAATAATAATAATAATAAAGAATAAAAAAAGAAGCTAGAAAAATCTTATTTCCATTTTTTTTCATATTATAATTAGCAAAGAAAAAAATTATGTAGACGCAACCTTTTCCGGTACCCCTCCCACGGTAACGAATTTTTTTACCTTAGATTTTACATGACTCATGATACAACGTATTTCCTCACTGCATGACGAAGCGTCTCAAGACGATCACCATGCTTCTCTTTGTAGCAATTATCGCGATCATTTTGTTCATTATTTTTGTTTTAGATTGTGATTTTATTCTTAAATTCAAGGAGAAGTTCGGTGCAAAGCCGGAGGAAAAACTTCGCGGCAAAGTGGTTTGGATAACTGGAGCTTCAAGTGGAATTGGAGAACACTTAGCCTATGAACTTGCAAAATGTGGCTGTAAATTAGTGCTGTCTGCAAGAAGAAAAGAAGAATTAGAAAGAGTGAAAGGAGGATGTGTGGGTGAGCTACTATCTCCTTTTTCTTTCTTTTTGAGGTTGAATATCATAAATCGCAGTACGCGGACCAGCTCGATGTAACAGAAAATCCTTCAATAAGAACGACCGAGACCAGGTTTTATGAGCCCGCGAGACTGAGCATCCCACCCAAACCCTTGTTTTCACTAAAACCGCTGGGCGCCACAACCTGGTTGAGGTCGTTGTTTTCAAAGGTCTTGCGTTGTAACAAGTAATTGCATGAGCTGTGGGAGAGGGGGCAATGTCGCCCCAACCCTCTCTCATGATTTTTCCACTGCCATCATTGCCATCGAGTACCAGTTCAGTTTCATCCCACTTTATTTTCGTGTTTGCGCTTTCTCAATTCAGCGGACCCGACTATCTTGGAACCTGGAACAGGCTATATCACATATATAAGGCTGTTTTTAGCTCCAATTTTTGTGTTGGCCGTGAAAAATTGGGTTTAAACAGCTGTGGACTGGCATGAAATTGAATTGATTATCATTCTGCAAGCATTAGACTCATGCCTATAGGTCCGAGAGTTTGCAGGTTTGAATAGTAAAATGCACACCCAATTCAAGACCCCGATTCCAGAAAGCACAAAACCTTTTCCTAGTTCAGACTCAAATGGCTAAAATTTATACCCAGTTTCAGACCATAAGGCTCAAAATCCATAACCCTTAGCACTCCACTCACTTACAGTATATTATAGTTTATAGAGAAGTACGTACCCCCAGTCTGATAAGCTTGTCACTGCAAGAACTGTTAATGATGGGCCTAGACTTTATATGTATGATAAGAATTTCATTGAGTGATGTTAGAATCAGACGTACCCAGCCACTTATCCTCAGGGCTTATATCTAAATGTCTTGAAAAGGAGGAATATGAAAACTAATCAAGGGGTCAGGGGTGGGAGTGCTAAAGAGATTAAGTGTAAAGATTTCAGGTTGACTTCTTGGCTCCTTTGATAATGCTGCTGTCATTATTTATTTTTGTCTCTTCCTTTTTCATTAGCCCTTGCAGGAGACCGATCACTGGTTACGGATGTGTTGGTTCTTCCCTTGGATATCACAGAGTGTAACAAACACAAGGATCATGCTCAGACTGTTATGAATCATTTTAACAGGGTTGGTATAAAAACAATATACGTATTTGTACTTTGTATGAAAGGATGAAATGTGTTGAAAGGGCTGGCAGATTCAGGGAAAAGTCTGGGAATAAAAATTTCATTTTTCTAAATAAGCTAACAGTTTAGTAAGGTCCCATTCATGCTTATGGGAAGGAATTAGAAAATGCTACATAATCACTGTCTAACATTTTCCACCCACATCACTCTGGAGAAATTTCAGTATGTATCTTATGTTTCTCGAGTTTTGCCATATTTAAAAATTAGATTAAAAATGTTTTTAAGCAGTTTAAAAAGGTTGGCTTAAAATAACAGTGATTTTGTCACATTGAACTTTGAATGGTGAAAATTGCAACCTCACAGCTGTACTAACTTTAATATATCATTTTTGCTTAGCTTTTAAAAATTTTTCTTGTTTAACTGCCACCGTCTCTGAAGGTCTCCTGGGTGAGACATTTCTTCATTATTCCAGTACTGTGATAGCCTGCACCACAGACGAAACTAAACTTTTGGTTAAGTCCGTTTGCGAAACAGCACTGAAATCCTTGTTCTAGACCTCCCCTGTGTGCCAGTATTTGAGTACGGGCCATAATTGGCCTGTTAAAAAAAACATTGTCGATTTGCCAATCAGGTTAAATGGAAATTTGAAACTAATTCCTGGTAATGATCGTTGAATCCATTGGGGGCCCAAGACATGGATCTCGATGCTGCTTTGCAGATGTTATTGACTGAGGTTATTACATCTGTAGCGCAGGCTAGTACAGCGAGCACTATAATCAAACTCTGCAATAATTGATTAATTCATTAACTTCACTAGTTTGCACTCAATAGTACCACATTTTTTATACTGCCTTTTTGTTTAGGTTGATATTTTGGTAAATAATAGTGGTAGATCACAGCGAGGCTTAGTTCTTGACACCCCAAGTGTTGATGTTGACCAAGCCTTGTTGGATATTAATGTCATTGGGCCAGTATCTTTGACCAAGGCAGTTTTACCCCACATGATCAAACAGAAATCAGGACAGATTATTGTTACAAGTAGTGTCGCTGGCAAAATTGGTGAGTAGTAATAATAGTAATAGTGATGATAATAATAATAATAGTAATAATAATGATAATAATAATTTTTTCTCTAAAAACCCTTGCTGTGAGACTTAAGTGTTTTTAGTCGGTTCAGCTACCAAAACAAATTTTTTTGTAAGTATTGAAGTACAAATGAACTGATGCAATTCTCAGAGAGATATAGTTAGCTCTGGTTAGCTGTGAAGGTGAAAAAATCAATGATGTCAGGCAAGCGTGCAAAGAAAGTAGTATCCGATAGCCCAGGGCTGGTGGACTTTGCTATTGGGCTGGTGAATTCTGTTCCAATGGGCAAGTGAATTTTTTTGACGAATCCAAAGTACAGAAGATTGTGAAATCAAGTCTGCTCATAAAAAAGTTACTGGGCTAGTTGAAATAACTTTTGGGCTAGTAAAGGCTAGCTTCAGCTGGCCAGAATAGCAAGCTGTAAAAATGACTTTCTTTGCATCCTGGATGTGTTGAATATGGCTTCATTGTATATATGTTAAGTATGTGAATTTCTTTATTGTAGGATCTCCTGGTCAAGCCACTTACAGTGCAACTAAATTTGCAATTCAGGTTGGTTGCCTCAAGACCTTCCCTCATAATTATTTGGTCATTTAGTTATGCACATTTAGGAGCATGAAAGCATTTTAGATCACTAAGTTTGATAGCTATGCTGAATTAATGCATGATAACATTCTTTTACTCACATCAACTACCAGTTGTTTGCAAATGATTATACTACTTTCAATACTGAGCCGCTTTGTAGGTTGGCGGAGTGAAGTTGAGTGCATAACATTAATTTACACTGGTCCCTAATGGGACATTGGTCCACTGATCCTTTGGGATGCAGATAACTTAGGCCCAGTTCAACCATCGATCTTTTCATGTACTGAACTTATAAAAATACTGTAAGTTCAACGGTTGATTCAGACGACGAACTTAATTAGTTGGACTCAAATTATTCATTTTCACAATTTTCGTTGGTCTAAAATGCTTACAAGTGAAAATATATCTAATTTAGTAATAAATAAAATTATTTTATGCATTACAGGTAGGCTCGGCACATGAGTAGTTTGATGTTTTAAGCGAAGTCGTCCCACAGTCAAAATTCCCATGTGGGCCACTCGATCTTAATTCATGGGTCGACCCAAATAAGATATTTTGTACTTAATTGATTCAAACATCGATCTTTTCAGACATGTACTTAATTGACTCTTAATTGAAGGGAGTAGGTTCGGTACATGAGAAGATCAACGTTTGAACAGGGCCTTAGGTATTTTCCAGGTGGAGCCGAGAGAAATATTGAAATTCATGGGAAACAATTTTAAAATTAACTCCCATGCGACCAGTCATTAAAATAATAATTTGTTATTAAAGCCCTTGAAGGAGAACTTCAAATCACAGCAAAAGGTCTGACAACATTCCCGGGTAACAGGGCTCCCCTCCCTCTGACGTCATAGATTTTTCCATGTTGCCTGCTCAGGAACATTTGGCAGGAAACTAAATTACAATTATTTATAGAGATGGCATATAACGTCAAAGTAGCCAGTGAAGGCACAGGATTTTGGGGAAAAGATTCCAGCTATATGTAACAATAGCATTTTTGCTCCATTTAATAAGTTGGTTACCATGTGCAGTATAATATTTTCTGTGATCTAAGGCTGTGTATTACTTGCCTGTAAACAAGGAATGACATCAGGCATGGCTCTGTAATCTGATAAATATATAATATATTTTTTATGTTATCAGCATTCACAGAATGATAAATGATAATTATTATACTGATTATGTGAGTCATGAAGTGAGTGGTAATTTATGTTAGAATAACAAGGCTGTCGCAAAAGCACTCTTCTTCTTCTCTGATACTTAGCCTAGTTTATGTTATTTTATTAACATCATTGCATTTAATAGCTTTCTAATTCTTGTTCTGACTTCCCAGGGTTATTTTAACACACTGCGCATGGAGGTTAATGAGCATGATATTGGAGTGACTTTAGTCTGCCCAGGACCCGTACAAACAGATGTTGTGGCAAATGCATTCACAGAAGATGTAAACAAGGTACATGACACATGCCCAGTATGTTCAACTCTTAACAA